CCACGATGGCTTTGGTAGTATTGGAGTAGTAAAGAGATCCATGGACACTGAGGCCCTTGGATAATACAGAGCATAAGAGACTCAGGTTTTAATTTTCTTTTTTAATACTCTTCATTCTTTCCTATGAGCATTTCTTCTTCACTTCTCCGGATGGTCAGTATCCATTAAATTAGCAGATAAGATTTTAAGGTGTGGTTCTTTCCCAGAGAAATTTTCTTATGGGGACTTGGGGAAAATTCCTGAGGATTAAGAATGTTTCCCTTAATAAATATTAGGAAAACCACAGGACAAAGAGCCCTGAATCTCACTCTCCAGCCTCACTGCCACCTCACACAGAAGTTTCTTCTCTTGGGTCGTGGACTGCAATGCTTCCGGACTGTTCTTTACGCTCAGGGACTCCCTCTTAGGAGCACATGAATACGTACACACTTAGCGAACTGTTGGAGAGAGGCTGCTGACCCTTGGCCTAGCAAATCACGAGTTACAGGAGACCTGAGTTTAAATGTCAGTTTGTATCTGACTCATTTTTCAAAGAGAATGAATCAGTCATTTGATTGAATCACGTAGCTCCCTGGTCTAAGGTGTGGTTATCCAGAGCACAGGCCAGCCTCGTGTGCATGGTGTCCTTGACTACTGCAGTTGATCAATCACCCTTCTCAGAATAGAAACACATTTATTAAGTACCTAATTGTACACAAGAGTTGAAGACATTCAGACTATGTAGGCTAAATATCAAAATAAATTACTGCTTGTTAAGGTTTTTGTGGAACAGGTGAGCTGCCTATTATTATAAGAAGGGAGGAGGCTAGCTAGCTATGTGTTAATTGTCAGGTTGTCAAAGCTCAGGGTAAACTGGGCAGGAATGTTAAGAGCAGCTTCTCGGCAAGGACTTGGTGTCTGATTGAAAACCGGCCTCTGTGTTTACGTGTGCCCAAATGTGGTTCTATTAGGCAGTTCTTTCTGTGATAAAAGGTGTTTTAAATTTCATCCCTCTAGAATCTGATGCTCAATGTCCTGATATTGTATTCTTTTCTGTAATCAGAGTCATGGATGAAGAAGTCTACATTCTAGCACTGAATGAGAACAGATCTGGGTGCATGGCCAGACCTATGAGTGTTAGAGACAAAGATTAGAGAAACTATTGTTTTAAGAATAACTTTATCCTCCAGTACTTCTCCATTTTTCCTTTTTGCTTGATGTAAAAGAGCAAGAGTGCAAAAAACATCAGGGTTTCTCAAGTGGCAGTGCAGAATGTCAGGCACTCATATACTCCGTTCCGTCACACGTATCGTCATTAGAGCGCACAGGACGCCTCTCATAGTAATGTTTCCATTTCGGTCAGGGAAGAAACTGAAGTTCAGAGACTGAGTTGGAATGCACGCTCAGGTCTGCTGGCCTATGATCTTTCCATAAAATCGCTTAGGCACAAATTGAAAACTTGAAATCAGGTTGTTATAAATGAAATGAGACAGTTGCTCCTATTTATTTTGGTTTAGATGTAGCCTGTATCTGCAGGGGAAAAAAGTAAGTAAAATCTATTGCAGGAAGATGTTTGTATTCTACAAATCTGTTGATAGGGAGGGGCAGTAGGAAGAGATGAGATTGAGGAATGTACATTAAGCAATATGTAAATTCTGGGTCCTGATTTTTCTGAGTCCTATTGATTTTTTAAAAAAATGTTTCAATAGATATATTTAAACATTTAATTTTTAAAAATATTTTTATTTATTTAGAGAGAGGGGAAGGGAAAGAGGAAGAGAGGGAGGGATATATCCATGTGTGGTTGAGTCTTGTACGCCCACTACTGGGGTCCTGGCCTGCAACCCAGGCATGTGCCCTGACTGGGAATTGATCTAGTGACCCTTTGGTTTGCAGGCTGGTGCTCAATCCACTGAGCCACAGTAGCCAGGGCTGAATCCTATTGATTTTTAAGTTATTTTCAAGATGGGCATCAATGTCTTATAATCTGTAAAATGTAAACATTACTATTCTTTCTAGTTTGTAAGAACATTGTGAAGCTATTGGAGTCTCTTTAAAAAACTGTTAGGAAAGCTGCTATAAAATACAAAGATTGTTTACATTCCTGACCCTCATCTGTGTACCTAAATTACTTTGTTCTTACCTTAATTATCACACCTATCATACTGCATCCTTGTCTACTCTCTGGTACCTCTACCAGCAGGTGGGTTCCTCCAAGACTGGGACCATGTCTCTTTTATTGCGGTATCCATAGTAACCAGGACAGTGCCTGAAATAACAAGTGCTCAGTAAGCTTACTGAATAAACAACACAACAAAAGGATTCATCTCTTTTAAAACAAAAGATTTTATTTATTTAGTTTTAGAGAGAGGGGAAGAGAGGGAGAGAAACATCGATCCTCTTGCACACCCCCGCAGCCCTGGCCGGGAATACAACCGGTGACCTTTTGGTTCCAAGCCTGATGCTCAATCCACTGATCCACCCAGCCAAGGCAGGGCTCATCTTTTTGGCCCACGTTCCCTTATTTCCAAAATGAGAAGACAGTAACATTGGTCTAGATGGCTTATCAGGAGTATCACAATGTATGCTCCAGTGTGGTTTACTGGAGATAAGGGCCACAGACAAAAGGAGTTATTATGATGAATACTTGGGGGGTGTGTGTGTGTGTGTCATTATTTTACATAACAAAAGTTTTATTCTGGCTATCATCTTCTAAAAAATCTAACCAATAAACGTCAGGACAGAAATGTAGGGTGCTTTAGGCAGTATGTAGCAGTTATCTCCATCCTGGGGCTCTGCGGGTTGACGAGCCAGAGACGAGAACAATCTCTCACTAGGTGGCTCTCTTTCCCACGAGTGGGCGGCGGCGCACCGGTGCAGTGAGGGACGACAGGGGCATTGTACAGCTGCAATCACCGTCACACCGCATCACAGTAGGCGTGCGCGGCAGGTGGGGCGCAGTCCAGTTTGTTTTGTTAGCCATAATCTGTCTTTGGGATTTATTTCAAAGCAGCCTGTACTTTCATTTCCTCCAAACTTACTCACGAGTTCCAAACAGACATTGGTCCAGTCTTTTAACAGATCCCGTTTCAGGGGAAGGATCTTGAAAGCGCCTCTTCACCTAGCATGGAAAACGGCAGGAATCAGGTACCCGAATTCAGCTGAACAAAATTAGCCCAATAAAATCCTGATTTTTAACTATCCAGTGAGGACTACATTTTTGGAGGGTTTTACGCTGTTACACATCCCAAAGTCCTTTGGGAGAGTGGCTTAAACGACTCCACGGTACGAATTGAAAATAAATGTCAAATAATTCCTTCAAACCATTAAGACGACTACTTCTTCAGCTACTTCTCACACGCTCAATATTACTATTGATTCCATTCTTTATTTCTGCTTTCAGCCCTAAGACTGACACAAAATACACATAATAAACAAGCAAAAAGATTTATTGTAATGAACATTTTTTTTCCTAGACCCCTCTTCCACTGGAACTTCGTGCTAGTAACTAAGTTGTTTTTTTTTTTTTAATCCTATTTTACCCAACCCTTTCCTCTCCAACTCAAAGGACACAGTGACAAATTCTGAGACACTGCAGACCCATTAGAGAAGGAAGAAGTTTGCATAGGAAGGAGGAACTCGGTCTGCTTTGGATAGTTAAGGGGGCCCCCCATTTGAGGTACTTGTGGGAGGGATGGCAATCGCCAGCGTCTCGCCACCTCCTTGGCTCTCAATGATACAAACCCACTTGTTAGGCTTATAGGATGCGCCCCCTCTCTCACTCCGGCCTCCTAGCGGCAGGTGGCGTGGCTCGGGAAGGCCGCGGGGGAACTCCGAGAAGGCTCGGTCGCGGAGGGTGGGTGTGGGGTGCGGTCTGGGAGATTCCTATAAGGAATCCTCCGGCCCGCTCGGAAAAGTCGGAGGTCCCTGTCCGCAGGAGAGGGATCGAGGCTGTCGTGTGCCGTTCTCCTCCCTCAGGGACCCCGTCCTGGCGGGATCCCGCCTCCCCGAGCTCGAGGCTGCTGTGGGGAAAACCCCTCGCCCGCCACGCAGCCCAGCCGCGCCTCTTCGCTCTCCCTGCTTCAGCCCGCCGCCTGCCAGCCTTCGGGCCCCGCGTCTTCTTCGCAGGCCCGGCCCTCTCCACGCCCGGCTGAGAGGAAACTATGGAGGTGGTTCCCGCCGGAGGGCGGGTGGAAAAGCCCACGGTGAATGCCTGGGGGTGTCCCCCAAAGCTGGGGGCAGGGGAAAGGGAGGGAGGAGGAAATGAACTTCACAGCCCGGGAGAACTACCCGGATTCCCAACCTGGGAGAGGACTTTAGATGTAAGGGAAGCCAAGGGGAAACCCTGGGCACCTTCCGGAGTATCTATCTATTCGCTAGGGGAGGGTCACCCGGTAAGCACACATTGGTTACTATGACAATACTACAGCCTCCCGTTGCCATGTCAGCTGCTTATCCAATCCAATTGGATTCCTTTCTCTTCATCTGTGGGCTCCACCCCATCCCCTCCAACAGTCTCCCTGAGTGCAGGGGGAGGAACCGCAGAAAAGCGGTGGGGGTCCTCAGCGTCACTCTGGGGCGCGAGGGAAGACCGGAGTCGAGGGACTGGCGGGCGGAACTGTAGGAGGAAGGGGTGCCGTTTCCGGCAGGGAATAGTGGAGGTGTGGAAAAAGGAAGAGAGCAGTCGGGGGAGGGAAGGACGGGGGAAGACTTTGAGTGTAACTCCCAGTAGATTTGGGCTCGATGTTCCCGATGAAGCTGGGGTTGCCCCCTCACGCAGGGGAGAGGGGTGGATTGGCCAGAAGCCTCCAAGCGCCACCAGCGGGCTACTCAGCAACCACACAGTCGCCGCCCAGGTAGCTGATCCCGAGAGGGAGCTCTACCGAGTCAAAAACCACCCGGAGGGGCCGGCACCACTGAAGTCTCGCGAGAGGGACCCCCTACTTCCTTCCTCTGCTTCTCCCTCCTCTTTCCCCCGCCCCCTTCCCTCTTCCCTCCCCCTCCCTCCTCCCGGGTCGGAGTGTCCCTGCGCCCCACGGGCCGCAGCAGCAGCTAGAGCAGTTTCCCCGGTCCCTCCCCTCGGTCTCACTCACCCCCCACCCCCCCGCCGAGCGAGGAGGAGCTGGAGGAGAGGAAGATGGCGGCGGCCGCCAGCACCCGCGGTGCCGCGGGGCCGCTCCGAGGAGCCTGAGAAACCCACAGAGGCTTCGCGGGAAGACGCGGCGGCGGAGGATGAGCCTGCAGAGCGCGCAGTATCTCCGGTGAGTGCCGAGGCCGGCCTCGTACGAAGGGGGAGCTGGCCGAGGGCTCGGGCATGGAGCTACAGACACAGAGGTGGTATATCCGGGGTGGCGAGGGAGTTGCTGGGTTCTCTCCTTGCCCGGCAGGGAGGCGGGGGCTGCGAGGGGACACGCGGGAGGGGGCGGAACGGGCACATACCGGGGTGCTGAGCCCCCCGCGGGCCGGGCTGAGCTCCAGCGAAGCCGGCGACTCTCGGTGCGGGGAGAGAGGTTGGGGAAGCGTGAGAATGTGTGTGTGTGCGCGCGCTCGGGGTCGCGGGCTCGCAGCTGAGGGGTGGGGGCAGGCGCCCGGGGAGGCGACGGCGACCCCGGCTGGAGGTGGGTGTGGAGGAGTCTGGTCCCGGTGGCGGGGGGTACCTGGTGTGGTGTGGGATTGGCTGGGGCGATGCGTGATCGGAAGACGGGGTGGAAGTCTGCACACCTGGGGTGTGTGGGGGGTTGGGAGAGGGAGGGCTGGAGGAGGGAGAAACCGCGGGCAACTGGAGTTTGTTCTTCATTCTTGGATTGGAAGTCCTAGGTAATAATGCCATCTGTAGTTAGTTGGCGGAGTGGGGGTGGGGACATGAAAAGGGGGAATGGATGAGGAAGTGAGGACAGAGAGAGGTATACAATGGACGGGGTTGGGTTCCCCGGAAGAAACTGGGTTAGAATCAGTGTAGTCGGAGATACCACTCTTTTAAGAGTGGTGTAAAGAACTTGTATGTCGTGTGAATACAGTCTGCGAGTATGGGATGTGTCTGGAGTGGGGCAAGGGGGGCGATGCGGACACACTGGAAAGCAGTACAGGATGGCGAGAGCGTATTGAATGGACAGACACCAGCTATTGTGCAGCCAGGAAGGTTCCAAGGAAGCTGGATCAAGAACTTGGAGTTAGAGGTGTAATAAGGGTCAAGATCTTGGCTGCAGAGAAAAATGAGGTCGTTAGAGCCTGAGATAACTGGGGAGTTGCTTCTGCATAGAAACGGGGGAGGCAGACGTTAAAGCGGGTCCTTTTGTCTTTCAGGAGCAGAACTAAGAAAGGCAGGCATATGGGCAGATGTTTTTTGAAAGTAGTTTCATACCTTGCGGAGGAGGAAATTGCATGGGGTAGAAGTCTGAAATGAGCAGAAAAGTCACGTTAGTTGTTTAGTGAAGTGAAAGTATTGAGGGACGGCAGAATGCCTGAGTTTAACAGGGGCAGAGGTCCACAGAGCATGTGTGCCTGGTGATTATAGGGAAGTTGGAAGAATATCTAGATATCAAGGTCCTTTTTTCCTACTATAATGTCTGCTTATTGTTTATTATGTCAGATAAACTTAATACACCTGTGGCAAGGATCTGTGGCGGATGCTGTACAGGGTGGCTGTGGAAACTGATCATCGGGATGGTCCTTAATTTTAAGGAATTTGCAGTTTAATATAATACACATTAGGCAAGTAAATAAATAACAGCACAGAGTGAAAATGGTGTCATAAAAGATGCCAAGTGTTACAAAAGTCCAAAGGCAGGAGATTACCTGAGCAATTGGGGGAAATCAGGAGAAGCGTCCTTTGTTCATTTACTCACGTATACACTCGTGATTCATCAGTCATTTTGTTGATCAACTATATAGGAGGCATTGTACCAGCTGCAGAGAATAGAAAGTAAGAACTCCACCCTCTGACAGAGTTTAGTTTGTTAGGCTTCAAGGAGAAAATGGCACTTAAAATGGCCCTGAAGGATCAACAGTATTGGATTGTTTATCCAGTATTGTGTATCCCATATTTTGTATCCAGTATTAAAGGTATGGATTGAGAAGAGTAGAATCCAAATGGAGGGAAACTGAGCAGAGCTGTGTAGACAGAGAGCTTGGGGGCCAGGGCGGTGTTCAGTCCAGTTACACAAGACCTCAGGGCCGGGGTCCCCAACCTCCGGTTGCAGGCCAGTACTGGTCCAGGCCTGTTAGGAACCTGACAGCACAGCTGGAGGTGAGCTTGAACGGAATGTGCTTAAATCATCCCAAAGCCATCCGCCCCACCCTGGTCGGTAGAAAAATTGTCTTCCATGAAACCGGTCCCTGGTGCCAAAAAGGTTAGGGATGACTGTGGTAGGGTGATGCAGCTGGAAAAAAGAGTCTTGTAAGTTACTAAGTTTCATCCCTTCCTTTTACAGATGAGGAAATATAGCCCAAAGAAGTTAAAGTTGTTGAGGATCTACAGCTGGTGTGTGGAAGCTGTGGAACTCAAATGTAGGTCTTCTCAGTCCACATCAGCTGCGTTGTGCAGCACGTCTGGGGTCTTCTGTCCTTCCCACAAATACGTGTTGACAGTGTACTAGATTCTAGGCACGGAGGATCTCGTGGTGAGCGGAAGGAACAAATGAGGATGTTTATCGGGTAGTGACAAGTACTGGGAAGAAAAATGAAGCAAGATAGGGAGACAGGGGAAGGCCCGTTTGATAAGGTGCCCATGTTTGGGAGGGCCGTGAATGTCCTGAACTGTGGTTTATAGTCAGAATGGACAACAGAGAACCTGAGGTGATTTGTTTAAAAGGGAATTCACGTTTTTATAGCTATGTATTAGGAAGATGAACCCGTGTGGCGTAATGGACAGTTAAGGCCAGAAATACGGTGGGGGCGGTGGCACTAGGAAGGTATGATAAAAAGCACATTGGGAGAGTGGTGGGAATTTTAATGGGAAGGTTAGTTGGCTTTGAGAGGCTGTGTTGATAGATGTTACGTTGTGTAAGTCTCCCTGGTCCAGGAGGTTTATCCTTAAGTTGTGGAATCGATGATAGATAGTTGGAGATGAACTTCGTTTCCAGAAGAAGAGAGAAAATAAGAATGAACACCCTGTTTGAATAACCTTTATTTTCCAGCTGAAGTTGAACAGGTAAAATGGAACAGGCATAAGACCTGGGAATCCCTTAGAGATTCCTGGGAGCCAATTTTTTTCTGGATCTTGCACGTGTGTCCTAACTAAATAAAGCAAGTCTTAGGGCCAGTTGTACTCTGGGACAAGCCTTTCTAATAAAGAAAGGCTTACACCAGCCCAAATTTCCCCTCTTCCTTTTAAGGTAATCATTCTATTTAAAGTCTGGTGTGGGGAGACTAGAGAATGTCTTCAGGGAAGCATTATGTTCACTTTCTTTTCTTTGATGAAAAAGGAACTGTTGGTTTTTACAGACAACTTGGGGAGGATGGTGGGTATCAGCTGAATGAGTGTAGTTGGGGGTGTAGCAGTTACTCTGTGACCTTGACTTTAGGAAGAGTTTTCTTGCCTACCTTTGTCTGTGGAAGACCATGACTGGGCAGTTTTTAAACTGCAGAGCTGCAGATCTTCCCTCATGTAGATGAAAATTCGTTTCATCTCAGCTGAATTAATTTGTTAGGGTGAGCCGGGGTGTCCGGCGTTGAATGGCGGAGTGGTGGCAAACCAGGAGCAAGGTGGTAGTTTCCAAAGAGTAAGAAATGAGGAGATGAGGTAAGCAGCATCCGTAAGACAAAGAAAAGGAATTCAACATCAAGTGGATTGAATTAGTCTATTTTTCTGTAGGAATAGAGCAGAGACGGCAGGTGGAAAAATAACCTGTTCTTTGTGTGGGAAAGAAGGTGGTGATCTGGGCAGGAAAAGATGATCAGACTTTGTCATTGTTGTTATTGTTAGGAGGGACGTGTCTTTTTTTGAAATAGCAGGCTGACAAGACTCCTGTTCAAATGAGCAAGTTGAGAGGACTTTCTTGCATTTTATAAAAATGAGAAATGGGCAGGGTGTGCCTATAGTCCCAGCTACTCGGGAGGCTGAGGCGGGAGGATCGCTTGAGCCCAGGAGTTCTGGGCTGCAGTGCACCGTGCTGATCTGGTGTCCGCACTCAGTGAGGCATCAGTATCGTGACTTCCTGGGAGCAGGGCGCCACCAGGTTGCCTACGGAGGGGTGAACCCAGGTGGGAAAAAGAAGAAATGGTGTTAGGTACGGGGATTCTAGACTGATATTGAAAATGTATTACCCAACTTGAAAAAAAATTTAGTCTTTTCTTTTCATTCGTGACAAAATGGAAAGATTTTTAAAGACAGACACCACTCTGGTGAGTAAAATAAAAAGGTGGCACTGAAATAGTTCATTTGATAAGGGTGGGAGAAGGGTGAGGATAGGCCATAGGTGTGATAGTAGGTGAGGTGTAATATTGTGCTTTAATAGAATAGCATTTGAAAGAATAGAAATGTGGAAGTTAACATGTCAAAGTTGGAAAAGCAAGGAAGGGTAGGGGAGGTATTGAGGGACCAAACAGGGACAACATCATCAAAGTCGTTTTCGGAGGTGAGGAAGTAGAATTATCATAGCCATAGGGAACACCAGTCAAACGGGGCAAATCCTCTTACAGAAGGTGGCACAGGTGCCGTTGGATGACATCTGCTGCCCTCGTGGGAGCCAGCTGTCCTCACTCTGTGCTCCCTCCAGTGTCCTCTCCTTCCTTCACTGTGCTCCTCTTTTTTATTTAATTTCTTTTTATGCTCTAGGTTTTTCCATGAGGTTTATTTGAAGTTGACCCCTGGTGTTAGTTCCCTTTACAGGAAGGGTCTGTAAGTTACCTGTCTTGTTAGTGGTTTGTTTGTATGTTTACACCATACACTTTTTTTTGTCAGAAACTTTGTTACCAGAAGTAGGAATAATAGAACAGCAACAAAGTTGTTGTTTAAATACTGACTAAAATACCCAATATGTAGTAAGATAAAATGTATCACTGTAAATAGTGGAACCAGGGGCAGATAGAGGGAGGGGAGCAGGGTGGATCAAGTAGCAAGCAGAACCTTACCCTAGCTGGGGAGAGGAAGAGGGATGTCAGTGGGAGCATTTGGGAGGAATGTGGATACTCAGTGGGGTGGGCTCCAGGCTCTGCCTGCTAGTGCTGGCCCTGGGCATCCACCGTCTCTGGGAGCTCCCTGTAGCTCCCATGGAAACCCTATAGCATGTGTTGGTATTAATTCAGTGGCAAAGAAGTCTTA